CCGCCGCGAGCCACCCGATTCCCCTTTCTCCTCTCCCAATTTCTCGCCGCCGGCGACCCTCCGCCCCGCCTCCAGCCGCCATCTGGGGGCGAATGTGGAGCTCCGGACGCGGCTCCAGCAGCAGATCCGGCCGGGAGAGGGACCCGGAGCGTGAGTGGCGCGTCCGGTCCGACGGCCCGAGGAAGCGCGGCGCGCGGAAGTGGACCAACCGCGGGCTTTCTCCGCCGGCGAGCTTCGACCGCCGCGAGACGGTGGAGTACGACCGCCGGCGCGCATCGTTCTCCTCCACGCGTTCTTCGTACGCCGGATCCTCCTCCTCCTCTGCCGCGGGCTTCCTCCCCGTGAAGAGGGAGTGGTCGGACGATGAGGAGGAACCGGAGCCGCCGGCGCTGTTCGCCTTCGTCCCGGTGAAGGAGGAGCCCGAGGAGCCCGCTCTGCTCGGCCGCCGCGGAATCATCGGGACCGAGGACTACGTCACGGAGTTTGACGCCATCGCCGTCGCCATCGCCGAGCGGAGCGTGCGAGGAGGAGGAGTGCTGGCGCCACGCCGAGGAGCTCGAAGCCCTCGAGTGGCGGCAGGCGGTCGCCGACCACGTCGCCGCCAACGAGAAGGCGGAAGAGTGGCGCCGCATCCGCAAGGAGATGTCGGAGAAGTACGTCGATCTCTGCAGCTCCGACGAGGAGGATTGAGCGTCCGGCTTCTCTCCGGCATCGTCCAGTTGCCGCGACCTCGCCGCCGTCAAATCCGACCCCCTAGTACTAGTTTAACGTAGTATATAGTATAACTATGCTTGTAGTTTGTGATGAACTATGTAGTATGCCATGAACAATGTAGTATGTGATGAACTCTGTTCGTGCAATTTCTCCCGCGAAATAATTTTTTTCAAATTATGCAGGTTTAGATACGGGTTCTGCTCGGCCGCGTATGTTTTTGATCCGCAAATACGATTTTCGTCAACCCGCAAACGCGTTTTGCTGGTCGTATTTTTGCGGGGTCTGCTAGAGTTGCTCTTATACAACGAATGTTGGAGGAATTTTTGTGTGTAGAGTTGCTAAAATAGCAAGTGAATGCAAATATAGAAAGACCGTTGGAGATGCTCCTAGGAGAGCTAGTACTAGTACTACTAGACTACTACTAATTATGTTTTAGTTAGAACTATGTTTGATTCAAATGAACTTCGTATGTCTAAATTATGTTTGAAACGATGCAGTAATTGAACTAATTTACATCTTCAAATACATCATCCATTGGAGTTGAAGTTTTACATCACCAAATATACATCATCTTGAAGTTGGCACTTTTTTGAAGATGTAAAAAATACTTGTTGTGATGTAAATTATACAACACTTATGTTTACATCTTTAAATATACATCTTCCACTGGAGATGCTCAAGAGAAGCGCGGTTTCTTTGTTTTGAAGGACCGGCAATCTGTTTGTTTATAGGGAGTACCTAGAACTCATTTAGATGAGATATAATTTGGTCTCATTCACTTTGAAAACAATAGCATATACAACCCACGTCAGCACACACGCATCTTATAACATCACATCCAATGACTATAAAAGGTGAATGAGACCAAATTATATCTCATCTAGATGAGTTCTAGCAAAACTGTTGTTTATATATCTTGTTTATATATCCGAGTAAAAAACGTGCTCTTTTGTTCAGGAACGGATCAGTCGATCGATCTTTCCGTGAGGTTACCTTTAAAATCCTCATCCTTCTAAATCTCAGCCGTCAATTATTATGTAATAAAAATATTAACAGATATAAAGACATGAGGGAAGGAATATCTTCTTCACTTAGCAATTCAAACTAATCCAAAAAAAAAATCTTCACTTTATTATTATTAGGTAGGTAATAGATATAGATGTGATCCTTATTTTTGTACGGTTGTCCCTTAATCAATCATGTGGTCGTGGTTTTCGCACGATTGTTCGTTAATCAATGGTGCGGCAAGTATGTGCGTTTGTATCGGATTTTTACCCGGTTATTTCTCATTAACCAGGCTATTTTCTTATTCTTAATGAAATGTAGGAACCCCTGCCCTCTTGAGGTATTCTCTAGAAAATAGAAGATCCAAAGCATTGTCAGCATTCTGCAACAGATTTGATGAAATTGGCAGTAGTACACACACTTGGACGGAATAGCATACTACAGTACTATAAAAACTGGTTTGTTGTGGTCGTACACGCGAACAAAACTTTGACGTTTTGCTAGTGCGGAAAGAAAGTACTGTACATAAGTAAACATGAGACATGCATGAATCATTCCAATATCCCCACTGATCATGGTTCTGGGCACAATAATGGCATGGCAAGACTAGCAGCAGCAAGGTGGAGCAGAGCAAAAACAGTTCGCAGCTCCAACAGTAAATTGATAACCTTGTCCCTAATTTTCCCGTCACCGTGTAGTAGTAACTCTCAAGCTTAGCTACCGTCAAAACAAAAACTGTCAAGCTTAGCAATAACAGCAAATGCGATACGAGAGCAGTCCCTAGAAGTAAATCACCTGCCTGCCCGAGCACGCCCCCGGTGCCGGTGGCGTATGCTGCATCTCAAAATGCGGCGGGTGTTGCGGCGGCATAGGAGGTGCAAACGGCCTCATGCAGTCCCAGGGTGGCGGCGGCGGGCGCAGCATATGAGGTGGTGCCCAGCGCGGCGGTGGATGTGGCCAGCGCCAAGGCGCTTGCGCCGGCGGCGGCCCAGAAGGCGCGCCCCAGCACGGTGCCGGATAAGACGGCGACATCGGCGAGCGCCAGAGTGGTGCCGGACCTGCAGGCTGAAGATGCTGCGTGAACGTAGGCGCTCCTGGGCCCGACGGCGGTCGCAACGGCAAGCCCCAGGACAGGTGCGGAGGAGGCGGCGCCACCTGGCGCGAACCGAAGCCTGGTGGTGGGGTAGGAGGCGGCGCCAACGTAGGCCGGCTCCAGCATGGTTGCGGCGGCGGGCCGAAGCCTGGTGGTGGTGGTGTTGGGAGGATCGGCTCCAGCGTAGGCCCGCTCCTGCATGGTTCCGGCGGCGGGCCGAAGCCTGGTGGTGGTGGTGTTGGGAGGATCGGCTCCAGCGTAGGCCCGCTCCTGCATGGTTCCGGCGGCGGGCCGAAGCCTGGTGGTGGTGGTGTGGGGAGGATCCGCTCCAGCGTAGGCCGGCTCCTGCATGGTTCCGGCGGCGAGCCGAAGCCTGGTGGACGAGAGAGGGTCGGCTCCAACTCAGGCTGGCCCCTGCACGGCGGCGAAGGCGGAGGCACCACGGTCTGCGGCCGCGGAGAGGGCGACGGGGGCGGAGGTGGCGGAGTAGGGGAGCGCATCCATAGTGGCGGAGGCACCACGGTCTGTGGCCGCGGCGTGGGCGACGGCGGCGGAGGTGGCGGGGTAGGGGAGCGCATCCATCGCGGCGGCGACGGCGTCGCCAACGACATATCCTCACCCTCCTCTTCCATGACCGCCTCCTCCTTCACCTTGGCCGTGTTGGACGCGGCAGGGAGCTGGTAAGGGGAGGTGCGCGTCCTCTTGGAGCGTGGGCGGCGCAGGGGCATCGCCAGCGCGAGCATGTGGTGGGCGGGCGGGGGCATGGGCTCCACCGGGTCCGGCGGGTCAGCGAAGGCGGAGAAGGCGGTGACGCAGCCGATGGGGCACTCCGCCCAGCCGATGGCGTCGACGTCGGCCGAGGCCTGTGCGGCGGCGATCCGCGCGGCGGAGGGCGGCGCGAGCGCGGCGCTACCGTGCAGCGTTGAGCGGCGCGGCGGCTGCAGGTCGACCTGCCCCACCATGTGGTCCATGATCTGGGACTGCAAGAGCAACTCCATCCCGTCAATCACACCAGCAGGCAGCAGCGGAGCAAAGCAAAAGGCAAATAGATAGATAGATGGAAGAAAACCTTCTTGCCGTGGAGCCTGGCGAAACCATGCATGTAGATGATCTGCAAGCGGCCATGGCAGAGTCGCGCGCAGAGAGGAGAGGTAACACATCACATATAATCACATAATAAGAGATTGAATCTCAAAAAAAGAAAACAAAACAACAGATTCAGTTAACAAAAATGGAAGAAGAACAATATTCAGTATCACCTAGCGTAGTATTTAATTTCTCCAAAAAAAAAACCTAGCCTAGTATTTATATATTGGTTAAAACCGAAAGAAGGGAATAGGAGTAACAGATTCAGTTAAACATGGGGAAAAGAGACACGAAAGATTAATTCCGCCCTAAAAGAGAAATAAATGCATGGAAGAAGAAGGGCGGGGTCATACATTCAGATTCAGGAACATGGACACTCCGATCACGGAGAAAGTTGGAACCAAAACAAGAGAAGCAGATGAGATTGAGAGTTGAGAGTGGGTGGATTAGCAAGCACGTACGTTGTTGAGGTGGACGGTGGTGAGGCGGGTGGCGTAGGGGTCGACGAAGAAGCGGTGGTACCTCTCCAGCGTCAGGGTCAATCTCTCCTTCACCATGGCCGCGCCCTCTCCTCTTCCGACTCACGCCTCCCCTGCCCTCTCCTCCCCTTCTCCGTCCTCCTTCCGCTGCTCAACTCCTCTCTCTCTCTCTCTCTCTCTCTCTCTCTCTCGGCCCTCTCCCCCCTTCCGTTTGGCAAGACTCTCCTCCCTGCTGGCCTTGCTTTTTGTCACGGCCAACACGCTCGATCGGCACGTTACGTGCTGCCCCGGGAGAGAGAGAGACGTACGTAACGCAGAGCGCAGAGCAGGACAGGGATGAAGGAATTGAATGGGGCACCTTCTTGTTGGTGGGCTGTTCCGGGGCCCCACCAAACAGAACAGGCTTTCGCTCGCTCGCTCGGTCGCCTGCACAAGCAGACAAACCAAAGGCTCTTTTGCTTTCATCCGATCAGGTCAGATCATTGAAAGAAAGTCGAGTTGAGCCTGCCTTTGCAGACTTGGGAGGCCCGGCCAAGACTGATCAAAGGCGTCCCTCCCTCCCATCCTTTGGTTGGTTCTCAACTTCTGATGATGGCTACGGATTCTGAATTCTGGTCAGGTCCGCATTTTCACTTCTTGCTCGCCGAGTGGCTCCTCCGCATGTTCACTCTTATTTGACGCAACAAGAGAGAGAGAGGACTTTTTTTAACGCAGTTTCTTTCTGCATCTCAGAGCGACGAGGACTCGCTCAAACCAGCAACCGGTGTCAGGATCATCAAAGCAGCAAGAAACAAAACGCATCTCATCCCAAATGCAGACGCATATCAACGCGGTTAATAACTGAACAGGCAACATGGTTCTTCATCATTAACAAAACCAGTAAAACTAAAATTAATTTACAACTACTGCAGATCACCACCGAACCAAAAGCAGCGAAGAACAAAGCACACCAGATCAACCGCCGGTTCCACGCCGCTTCAATCAACCACGCTACAAATCACACAGCAGAGGCAATGCCGCCGCTGCTGCCCTGGGCGGCGGCGTCGGCGGGCATGTCCTGGACCTCGACGGACGGGAGCCTGAGCAGCTCCCTCATGCGCCTCTCCTTCCTCTTGGTCGCCGCCTTCCCCTGGCCCCTCAGGGTCCGCTTCCTGGTCCCGTCCACGCCGGGCGCCGCGGGACACGGGCTGGAGGAGGCGCTGAGTGTGCTCGGAGGGGAGACGCGCTGGACGACGGCCGCGGAGCCCGGGCGGATGGTGGCGAGCGGCACGGGGGAGGAGGCGGCCGCCCCGGCGTGGACGGAGAGGACGGAGCCGACGGGGCACTCGCGCCAGCCGAGGTCCTGGATGTCGCGCTTCACGGCCTCTGTGGAGAGCAGGGCCGCGGAGGGGCCCGCGGCGCCCGGCGGGGGCGCCACGGCGTTGATGCTGACTGTGGCGCGGCGCGGGCGCAGTAGGTCGAGCGAGTTGAGCGCGTCGACGATCACCGGCTGCGATCGACGAATCGTTAGCTCGCTCTCAGGGTGGGGGGCATGACAGGGAGGGAGTTGTCCAGCAGAGGGGAGAGGGTTTGCGGCTGTGGAGGGGTACCTTGTTGGAGTTGTACAACTTCTTGAAGCCGTGCATGAAGAGGATCTGCG